AAAAAATTGAGTTTTTTTCTCAATATTCTGCCTTCTATTAATAGATCTTCTGAGATACATCTAAAATAGGATTAACCAGACACCTGCAAATAAATTAGGCTTGGAGATGGAAAATAAAACGTTTAGGGAGTTTTTCTTTATTTATTCCTTATAAAGATGTAAAATCTAAAGGTTATTGATATGGTTTTGAATAGCAATAATTTATCTTTCCAACAGTTATAATAATGTTTACAAAAAAATAAATTCTGAGGAGTTATGAATATTTCAGTAAACGTCATGAAAAAAATCCTTCCATACAATTAATCCAAAAATTGTTAATTTTTCATTTCCAAACAAGTTCATATTTAAGAGTTTTAATTGAGGCTAAAAATGAATCTGAGTTGTTTTTCCTTTCAAAAATTTACTTGGCCTACATTAAATTTTTTTAATTTATTTATTTTTCTGTTGGCATTACAGACCATGTAGATCTTTTGCCGCCTTAACAAGCCTGCTCGATTTCTGCCTGTCTTGGGCTATTTCTTTCCATTTATCTGCATGCAGCTCTGTTGCATCTTTATTGATTCTATCTATTCATCTGCTTTTTGGCCTTCCGTCTGGTCTTTTGCCTTCTATTGAGGCATTCATTGTTACGTAGAGGCTTCAAGATGAATTGCTATGAGCTACATGCCCCACCCATCTTAACCTCTATGCCTTCATACCATGGGATATTGATTAACCAGTTTCTGTAAGCAGTTCCTTATTGGTCTTTCTTCTCCATGTGTTAGTACTCTGATCCCAGATCGCTCCAGTTATCGTGTGGAGGATTTTCCTCTCAAATCATTCAACACTTTTTTCTAGGGTGCTGGTTAGTGTCCATGTCTCATAGCATTATACACCCTTAGGTTGAGATTTTTCGGGATTTCAATACCTTAAAGAGGAAGAAGAAAGCTCTGTTTGCGCTAGTTATATGCTGGTCTATTTCTGCCCATCAGTCATTCATTGCGGTTATTGTGGAGCTGAGGTATTTGAATTTTTCTACTCTCGGGAATGATTTTCCTTCTACGCAGATCCTGTTATTGGAGTGGAATTTTTGGCTTATTATCACATATTTTGTTTTGTCTTCATTTACTTTTAAACCAATCTGCTCTGCCTCTCTTATCAGTGTTTTAGCGAGTTTCTCAATGTCTTCTTGATTACTTCCAAGCACAGCTATATCATCTGCGTATCCAAGGATTTTGTGATTCATTCCAACGTGACCCCTTCCATTTTCCTGTGATGCTGCTCTTATTACCTTTTCCAGGACTAAGTTGAACAACATCGGTGATAATCCGTACATATATTATTACAGTAAGGCTCGAAATCAGTTTTGTACCAAATATAAGCTCCTGTCATGCTTAAATACCACGAATGGGGTACCATTGGATTCAGAATTTCACAGGGGGTTAGCGAATCGTATTCTCCACTTTTGTTTTTCTTTCTAAAATAAATAAAGTCGATACAAACATTTTGCTAGGCTTCGATACTGGAACAGTGGTAGGTCTGTAGATCGATATGGGACAAATTGGATCTTAAAGATTTTGATGCGTACAGCAAGACCTGGATAGTTCCTTCGGAACTATCGGATCCTGCGTTTTTAAGCCGAAAAACGTTCTATTTTCGAGATAACGCAAGGCATAGGTTTCGCATCCACACAATCTTACATTAATTGTAGTACTGTCATTGAATACATGTCTCATTTCGTCGACTTGAGGTCTCTATGATCGAGAGAGGGAGAGTTTATATTATTCATCGATGGTGTTTTTGATCGGCAAGCCATATCATTGTTAATTTTTCACCAAATCTCAAGATTGAGCCACCAATTTCGAAGGCTTCCTTCTCCTTCAGGCTGGCAAAATAGTCCAATCACCCAGAAAATTCAGGCAAACAAGTTATGAAAGAAAATTAACTTTATTTGCGAATAACTGAAAAATTACACACTTTTCCCTTGGTTATTCCCATGATTATATAAAACATTACTAAATTGTTTACAAAAGGATAAAAGAACATCATCGAAAACGATTAGAAACTTTTCCAATATTTTTTATTTTATTATTTATTTTTTCGTATTTTCGATTAATATTCATTATGAAAGTTCTATTGTAGCCAATTTTATTTAAAAATAACTATATATTTGTCATTTAGCTATATTATCAGTACGAAGATGAAACAATTGGTACTGACCGAAGGACGAAAGTGGGTTCAAATATTTTTTTAAGGGAAAACAGAGTTGAGATTTCTAAATTCCCTACAAAAGGAAAAAAAAATTATCGCAATCGGACAATTTTTAGCAAATATACAGCTGACTGAAATTTGTATACATGTTGGTTCCAAACAAAAATGAAGATTTAAATTAATTTTTGTTTGCTTTGTGGATTATATTTATCGAGAAAGTAACATTTGATGTCTTAATCTTTTGATAAGTTGCATTTTGTTATTAATTTGGCATTTGATAACAATATGCTGTGCGAATTTTTCGCACGGGCCTTCTAGTCCTTTAAATTTATTATACATTACAATTTGTTTATTATAATTAGCAATATGTTTTTCTTCTTTTAGATTAAAAAATGATTTATGTATAATAACCTAGAAATCCATGCACAAAACATAAAAGAGAGTGAACAGATTAACAATTACAGCAATATAGTCTTAGGGACTGAAAGCAGAAGCTCTGAGGATTATATATGAATGTGTAATAGTTCCGACACTCCTTTATGTTGTGCCCGCCTGGTAGAGATGGGCAATCGCTACTCTGAGTATCGAGTATCAAGTATTTTACTCAAATTGAATCACTATTGGAATTTTTTTATTATTTTTTTTTATTTCTTTATGACATTTAGAACTGTATTACATAAATACATTAAGTAAATTTGGACATAATTGATATAATGACATGAATACACTTGCTGAGTAACTACCCAATGGTAGCACTCTAATAATATGACTACATTAGGAGATCACGGGGCCATCTTCTTTTCAGACGCCTCGGAGGGTTATCAGGAATTGAAGAGGAGGCAAGGTTAGAAACGAGAGGGTTGGGATGATTCTGAAGTTTATTATGGAAGGATAGGTATCTGGATTGGGCCAGATCTGAAACATAAGGAACATTAAGATCTTCATGGATAATTTTATTAGTGACAAAGTAAGGAGCATTGAGGATTTTGAATTGTAAGGATTGGATGCGAGAGGAATTCGATGGTTTAGTGGATCCCCATAGCTCAACTCCGTAAGTCCAAATAGGTCTTATTATAGTCAAGTATATGAGTCTTTTGTAATTAATGAGAAGTTTAGAGCGTTTGTCTAGTAAGTGCTGAAGTAATCGGAAACATCGAGCTGTTTCTTGTCGTTTCAGTCTAGTATGAGGATTCCAAGTTAGTCATTTGTCCAGGTGGAGTCCTAGGTATCGGATTTGCTCAACAGGGATAAGTGGAGTATTGTTAAAGGGTAAAGGTAATTTGGTGGGATTTATTGGAGTTTATTTTAATTCTCCAGTTTTGACACCATTCTTCTAGATTTATGATGTGTGATTGAAGCATTTGGGATGCAATTGCTGGGTCATTGTTTACTGATAGGATACATGTGTCATCGGCATATGTGGTGATGACAGTGTTGGGACAGGTAGGGATGTCAGCTGTATAAACTGTATAGAGGATAGGACCTAGGATACTACCTTGAGGAACACCAGCGGACTGGGAACTATTGGAAATGCAATCACTACTTCAGTTAATCGTTTGACATCCAATGAAATAGTAATTAAATTCTTTAGTTCTCAAAAAAGGTCAGTATTTGAGTAAAATACTTGGCACAGCTATATCATCTGCATATCCAAGGATTTTGTGATTCATTCCGACGTGACCCCTTCCATTTTCCTGTTATGCTACTCTTATTTTACTCAAATTGAATCACTACTTCAGTTAATCGTTTTGACATCCATTGAAGTAGTAATTAAATTCTTTGGTTCTCAAAAAAAGGTCAGTATTTGAGTAAAATACATGGTACTCGATCCTCAGAGTAGCGTTAGCCCATCTCTACCACCTGGGAATCAGAAACAAACTAGAATCAGTAGAACCTTCCATACAATTTCTTACAATGCTGGCTGAGTCCTTTCTAAATTAATACCAATAAAATACAAAATTAAAGAACTACCAAAAATTTACAAAAGCAAAAGACATTGGACAAACCAATCTGAATTGGAACTCACAGCAAACAATGGGTACACATATAATTATAACATAATTAGCACAATACATTAAAGTTGTAGAAAATATGAACTTACTGACCATCAATATCTGTACAGACCGAAGTAAACACGAACAACACAGACTAGGCCCACACTGATCAAGTAATCAAGCTGAAAAATTTTAAAATCAAGTGATTAAAACTCCTGACTACATCCTCATGACAGGCAGACTACTCTGGCATATCTTATCTTATAATGTATACACTGACCACAAAATATTAACTGACTCTTTGAAAAAGCGTTACATAGTTTTTAGCGGACGACCCAAACACATGACCCTAGTTTCACTTCGCTTAGTCGGGTATAAATTCATTATTCAATGACTTACTGATGTAATCTAATCGAGATTATGGATAAAAACATAAAAAGTAACAGTTAGATAGTTTAAAGGTCACAACAGGGTCTTTGGTAAGAAAAGAGCTGACACCTTGGCCAAATCAGCTGTCTATAACAGCCATCTACCTAACTACTACTGCTTACTATCTCTATCCTTTGCTAAGAAATCTATTAGAACATATTCATTTTAACCAGCCATAAAAGAAGCACTGAAAGTTTATAGGTTTGAAAGAGTTATCTTTTAGACAAAGTCTTGAGTCATTGTATAAATAATAGGCAATGGTGGTAAAATCTGCAATAAAAAAATATTAATAATAATGTTATTTCTGTTGTTATAATATTATAGGATCTGTTTTAAGTTGTATATATTTTCTTAATAAGTTATTATTATTATTTTTTTTTGTTTTAGGCATAACAGATAGCAGTCATGCCAGCTGTTAGGGGAGATGGCATGCGTGGCCTTGCAGTTTTCATTTCAGACATAAGAAACTGTAATTATATAATTTATCATTAACTTGTTTATTTATGCACATATTTATTTATATTCTTTGTATTTGATCAAATTTTAATATTCAATTTCAAAATGTTTTTGTGAGTATTCTGGTTGTTTAAAAAGTTAAATTTTAACTATATTAACTGATTATATTGTGATTGTATTATTATTAACTGATCTGTGTTGTATTGAAGCACCTTGAGTGTATCGAAGCAGAATTAGATATCCCACTCTAATTGACCCTTTTACATAAAGGATTTCATCCTTCAGAAATATCCAATATCATTCACAGATTTCCTTCCCTCAAAGCTCCTGGCTATGACCTAATCACATACCAGATCCTAAAAATGTTTCCTCAGAAAGCCGTACTATTCCTCACCTATACATATAATGCTGTACTTCGAACCACATATTTTCCTTACCTTTGAAAACTATCCATTGTCAAAATGACCTTAAGGGACCTGGTAAACTTCTTTGTTGAATGAAAACGTGTTTATTATCACAAAGCAAATAGATACAAATTATGATATTCATATAAATGTTACAACATATAGACAACGGAAAATTCCGTCTGTCAAGGTATGTGCGATCTTTTTACAAAATATATTCCATTTTATATCCTTAAAAATTAATGAGCAATAATATTTTTTCATCATTATTAACAACATCATAAAAATATGTCCCAGTTTTCCACTTTCCACTGTTCTTGGTTTTTTTTAATAAACAATAAAAGTTAACAAAAGTTGACCAACAACCAATAAAAAAATAAGTAACAATGATAAGTAGTAAATACCCAAGTAGATAGAGTTCATTTTATAATAAATAATAAACAATATAACAATAACAAATAAATACTATCCATACCAAATAAATAGGGCATTCCACCAATCACTCACAAACTAACTAGCTGGGCTCTTTGTAATATCGCTTGCTGTGCATAATTACTGAGGGCCTTCCAATTAGCATCTCTCAATAGACTAAATTATTCCTCTGGCAAACATTTCTGCTGACCAAAATATTTTTCCCTGATCTCATTTTAGACATGACAGGACCCTAGGAAATAATGCATGGTGTCTTCTTTTTCCCCAGAATTACAAACCGGACAACCACGGTTTAACACTTAAATTGAGTAATTCAGTCCTGCATCGGAAAATCAATCTTTTCGATACAAGATCAAAACTGTCATTGAGATAGGGTGATACAGTTGTTTTTTCCGATTCCTCATTCATATGTTTAACTGTGAACAAATTTACACGTAGATCAGCGGTATTAGAAGTATCAAGCCTAATATGATAAAATTCCTCCAATTCCAATCACTTCCGGTACCAAAAAACTTTTGATCACTGCTTTTGTTAGAATGTGTGGTAAATGGAAATTAGGCATCTCCAGAACTTTTAAAATATAATCAAAAAGTATTTTTAGTGTATATAAAGGCAATACCCGTCTCATGTGGCAAAATGTAATTAGGTTCATACCTCAGGAGGAGTAACAATTTTTTTATAAAATATCGTTTGAATTTTTCCAAATCATCAAATTGTTCAAAACTCGAAACCTGTCCAGCATAGGAACCACTGCCCGTGAGACTGCCTTATATACTTATAATTTACTTGTATTGGGGGCATTTTTGTAAGCCATAAAATTATGCCAAGCAGACTTCAATCCAAACTTTGCATGACTGACTCTTTCCTTCAAATGACGCCCCAAGGCCAATCTCGGTAATTATTCTCTGAGATATTTATATTCGTTGACCACCTCAATCGGGTTTCCACCGAATTTCCACTTTTTGAATTTGGATAACCTGCCTCCATTGCGGAAAACTATTATTTTAGATTTTGCCAGGTTTATCTGCAGATTCCACATTCGGAAATAAATCTCCAGGTTGCTTATCATCCCTTGTAACTTTACTGGGGATGGGGCTAGCACTTCGTCATTCACAGATTCTCATGCAAATCATTCAGGAAAAGCCCGAAAAGTAAAGGACACAGCAGACAGCCCTGTCTTAGTCTGACTGAGGTTTCAAACAAATTACTATGCCCTTCCTTGTGATGTACTGTCGCTTTAGTCTTTAAATACATAATTTTTAAGGCATTCAAAAATTTATGTGACAACCCGAAATTAGTCAACTTAAACAATGCCTCCCTATCTATGCAATCAAAGGCTGCTTTAAAGTGTAAGAATGCATAGACTTTACAACGTTCTTTTGCTAGAGTTAGTTTAACGATGCTCAACGAAGTAAAAATGTGGTCCATAGTCGAGTATCCAGGTCAAAATCCCCCTTGAAAGTCAGTTAAAAGTTTGTTTGTGTTCACCCAGTTCCACAAACAACCCAATAAAACACCAGTGAATAGTTTAGTAGAAAAATTAATGAAGCAAATGCCTCTATAATTTTCTTCTTTGTGGACATCTCCCTTTTTGAATAATTTATAGATGACCGATTCGGTGAAGCTCTGTGGGATATTTGCAGTATTAAAATAATCATTAAATATCTTTACAATATACAACAAAACACATTCTGGAGAATTTTTGAAGAAGTCATAGAGCACAGAATCAAGTCCTGGCGCCTTATTATTATTTGCCTTTGCTAATGTAATTGTTAATTCTCCTAGACTAAACCAACCTATTAAACTCATACAAAATTCAATTCATACAAAAGCACAAAAAAAAACAAAAAAACCACAAAGTTTCTTGTAAATAAAGCAAATTAAACTTTGTTGTAATAAACGTATAATTGTTATAACGAATAACGACCACGGTAGCTATATCTATCTATCTGTCACTGTCAATAACGACCCTAGCTGTTATATTGAAATTAAACAAGTGTAATGAATAAATTGTAAGCAAAATGGAGTTAAACCAGTGCTTTTTAAACAAGAAAAACAGCAATACTATTTACTATCTGTAGTGTATATCTATACCTTAACGTTAATTCTGTCTCTAGGTGAACACCTCTTAGAACAATAGTTAACCTTAAAATGCAATGTCCGTTCGGGCCTCAACTCATTAAAAAATTGCGTTTCACCACGTTGAATATGTCTGCGTCATGATATATTTTCTCACGAACTGGAGGCTAAAACCTTCGAAAACCCTTTGTTGGTTAACTGAAGGAGAATGCTGGCAGCTTCACAGTTAATTTTTAAAAACAATATTATGTTGGGAGCCAAATCTTTGTATCCATCCTCTTGAAATATTAGATTAATAATAGCAGGATATTGAGAAGAACTGATTTTGCTGTGAGTCGATAGATAGTCAATGTTTTTTTGGATTTAAATGATTCAGCATGTCCGAGTAGATTTGCAATTTTTTCAAATTGTAATATTTACATTTAATTCTTGAACCAGACTACTATTTGACTCTTGCTCTCCAGTTGACAACATATATAGAATTTTTCTTTCAAGCAAAAACTTTTTGCTCTTCGTTATGAACTACTAAACATACGAGGGTGGTCTTGGGAAAAGTTTCCGACCTAACAAAAATAAGGCATTTTTTCTGAATTTTTTTTTCTTCAACATGGTCTCCTTGTAACTCTACACACTTATCCCAGTGATGCTCCCATCTCTGTAACCCATAAAAACTACTCTACGTTTTTCTCTGCAAAATAATTGTTCACAAAGGTGATTGCCTCTTCATTTTACAAAAATCTTTGTCCTCCAAGCGCAATTTTTAGATAAGTGAACAAAAGGAAGTTGCTTGGGGCTAGATCTGGTATGTAAGGCTGATGATCAAGCAGTTCAAACCGTAATTCATGGATTTTCGCCATGCCAACCACTGAGGTGTGAGACGGTGCATTGTCTTGGTGCAACAGGATTTTCTTTTTCTGCAAATGTGGTCGTTTTTCGGCAAGTTCGGCCTTCAGCTTGTCAAGTAATCATGCATAGTATGCTCCTGTAATGGTTTTTCCTTTCTGAAGATAGTCTAATGAAATTACTACATGACCATCCCAAAAAACAGTCGCCATCACTTTCCCAGCCAAGAAAACAATTTTTTCTTTCTTTGAAGCCGGTTCTCCCTTTGCAATCCACTGTTTGGACTGTATTTTTGTTTTCGGCGTATAACGGTCTATCCAAGTTTTATCTACTGTAATTAATCAGCGCCAAAATTCTGATTTATTACGCCTAAACTGTGCCAACAGAGCGTCGGAAATGTTCATTCGAATAGATTTTGGTCTAACGTGAGCAAACGCAGCACCCAACATGTGGACAGCTTTCTCATATCTAAATGTTGATTTAATATGTAACAAACCCGTTCTTTTGACATGTTCATAACCTCTGCGATCTCTCTCACTTTAATTTGGCAGTATAGCACCATTTGGTGAATGACTGTTACATAAATGTGATACTTAAATAGGGAAGGAATGAAATAAAATATTTCCTTGAAAAGTGAGATATAAACACGAAGATTTTAGGAGTTCAACTGTCGCTATAAATTAAAAATTCAAAATTACATTACAAAAGCCATCTGAATTCATTGGACATGGCGATTTCGTCATTAAAGCTGATACATCGTTACAACCGTTATATATGATATAATTTGAAGATAAAAATTTTAATGTAAGCTGCAGCCTTGATTATTACGAGTCTTTCAATATTGGTATAAACTATAAAACCACATCGCTATTCTAACTCCTTGTGCATATCTTATTTTACTAAATATTTTTTATGTTTTTCCATTAATTTATCGAAAGATAAATAAGTTGAAACTCCAAATCATTATTAATTACTGCCTTTATTTCACACATTAATTATTAGTAGTAAAAAATACAATTGAGAAACGATGACCTTGGTCGACACGGCGAGTCTATGGAATTGATAAGTCAGGTTGGTGACCGACCTGGAATACCGGGAAAACCTGGACAAATCAGGGAGAAGTCAGGAAAAAATTGTTGAAGTCAGGGAATTTTTTTAATTCGAAAATATTCTTTTTAAATTGGAATTAATATACAGTGGATTAATTTAACGACTGTAAGAGACCTGGTAAATTTCGTTGTTATAGACGACCGGT